GGGGAAGCCAAGATGGAGATGCTGCTGACAAAAGCTTTTCTGTCGAGCCTCTCCCTCACGCTCGCGATGCCCGTGGCCATGTTGCGTAATCTGCCAACCCAGGAAAAAGGATCCGTCTGGTCCATTCAGCCACGGCTGTCTCCAGACACCTTTTTGTGGTCGACCTGTCTTTGTGTGCCTCTGGACACGGCCCTCGCACCTCCGCCGTTGACTTTGTTGTGTTTCCAAGACAAAGGTCCACCCCGCACCACCACCCAGGGCTCAGTTTGTAAAGCTCCTGCCTGGCATGCAGGAAGCCCTGGAATCCATCTCCAGCACGGTGAGAGAATGCTCGCCTGTCGTCGTCCCAGTCAGTACTTGTGAGATGGAGACCAGAGGCTCAAAGCCAGCATCCACTACATAGTACATTCTAAACCAGTCTGGGACACACGAACACCTGTCTCCAAAATCATAAATAAATTAAGAGTGGTCTTTTTGTAAATTCTGAGTTTTTAAAATTTTCTTTGGGTTTTCCGCCCCCCTCCTCCATCTGATGTGGCTTGTTTTGGATTTGGGGCGTGGGGGAGTAGGTGTGTGTGTGTGTGTGTGTGTGTGTGTGTGTGTGTGTGTGTGTGTTTTCCACTGAATCAGCGCATTTTGTAGCCCAGGATCTTTTGTAGCCTAAGCCGGCCTCAAACGCCCTAGGCTGCTGCCAAGGCTTAATTAACCCTGAACTTCAAAGTCTATGGCCACCTCCTGTGAAGTAGTGGGATAACAGACGTGCCCATGTTGGGGTTTGTAGGGTATATGGGTACTAGTGTATGTTATTAAGAAGTCTACCAACCGAGCTTCACCCCACCCCCACCCCAAGTGTAAAGTTTTTCTATTTCTTGGAATTTACCAATGAACCAGTGTTTCCTACTTTACAAAGTAATACTGATAACTTGCATTCTAAAGTTGGGCCTCAAGGCTTTTTTCTCTGGGTATCACTGAGTGAACACTGATTTACTGGCACATTTTTTTTCAATAATTATTCATGAGGGCTGAGAATACAGTTTGGTGGCCGAGTACTTCGAGTACTTGACCAGGACACTCAAGTCTCTATCAAGTTCATGTCTCTGTGTTCAGTCTCCCCTGCTGCCCTTTTTTTTTTTTTTTTTTAAGTGTTTCAAGAGCTGAAGAGACCTCACCCATTAAGGGCACTCACTGCTCTTTCTGAGGACAAGAGTTCAGTTCCTAGCACCTACTTGATATGACTCAAATTGCCTGTAACTCCAGCTCCAGGAGATTTGGTCTCTGCGGGCACTCACATGCACATACACACAAATAATAAAAAATAAATCTTACAAGTTACTCATAGACATCCCTGCAATTCAAATACACCAGAGCCTGAAGCAGGAGGATCAAGAGTTGGAGGATGCCTAAGTGAGTTCAAGACCAGCCTGACCTACTGGTTTATATTTCTATACATACAAACTGGTTGTACTAATTTGTATCACCAGCATCTCAAAGCACAATAAATGCTCATTCCTTGAATGGATAAATGAATGAAAGATAGGACACTGAGAAGAAACACAAGACTACTCTTGAATTAGAAGGAAGTACCTCACGTAAAACTGATGTATAAAATTAGGGCTCTTGGAGGCCAGCCTAAGCTCCTTAGTAAATCCCTGTCTATAAATGAATAATAAAATTGCATATGTATGTTACCAAATTTAGTTTACAAATATGTTGAATTGGTAACTGTTTTGCTGTTCTCTTCCATCTTTTATACAATGATGGATTTGCAGGAGGAAGTCTATTTGTAAAGAATATTTGGGTTTCATGAAATTTAACATAACGTGAGGTCTTAATACTTTTTTCTAACTTTTGGTGGTGATAAAGTATGTGTGTGTTTTCGTGTGCATATGCATGTGTGTTACAGGAAGAACAGGCATTTGCATAGTGACATAGAGGACAACTTTTAGGAGTCAGTTCTCTTACTACAGGTTTCAGGAACGGAAGTCAGCTTCTCTTTCACCCATGAGCCAGCTTGCTGACCCAAATAGCTTACTTTTTTTAGAGACAATTTAGCAACTTGTGTATTTTCTTTCTTTTTTTTTTAAAGATTTTATTTATTATGTATACAATGTTCTGCCTGCATGTGCCCTGTGTGCAAGCAGAGGGCACCAGATCTCATTATAGATGGTTGTAAGCCACCATGTGGTCGCTGAGAATTGAACTCAGGATCTCTGGAAGAGCAGTCGGTGCTTTTAACTAACCTCTGAGCCATCTCTCCAGCCCCCAATTGTGTATTTTCTATTTGGGACTAATTCAGAGTACAACTAGCCCAGACATAGTATACACACCTTTAATCCAGTGCTCAGGAGGAGCTCTGAGTTCAAAGCCAACCAGGGACAGAGTTTGATCCTGTTTCAAAACAAAACAAAAAGTTCTATTTCATATGTGGATCCTAGCTTTTAATGTGTGTGTGTGTGTGTGTGTGTGACTGAACCTAGAAAGGGGACCATGAATGAGGAGAAAAGAGATTTTAAAGAAGTAGGAGCTGAGCTGGAAAGCTGATTCAGTGATTAAGAGCCCTTGTTGCTCTTACAAAGGACCCTGGTTTAATTCCCAGCATACACTTGTAGACCACAACTGTCTGTAACTCCAGGTCCATGGGTACCTGACACCCTCATTTGTCCTTATGGACACCAGACATGCAAGTAATACCCAGACATACATGCAGGGACACATCCATGTTTTAAAAATTAAGAGGTAGAAGTAGAGGCATTAAATTGGAAGGGGTAGGAGGGTACATTTTTGGGGAGGTAGGAATTGCAGAAATAAAGAAGGGAGATGGTCAACAGAAACAAGTTATGTCTGAAAATGCCGTAATGAAGCCTATTACTTTGCTGACTAAAAAAACACGTGGAAGGGGTTAGAGAGATGGTTCAGCAGTTAAGAGTATTTGCAGCTCTTCCTGAGGATATGAGTTTGAATCCCAGGATCCATGTCAGGCAGCTCACAACCACCTATAACTGCAGCTGCAGGGGATCTGATACCCTCTTCTGACATCTGCAGCCACCCACACAAATACACACATACACATAAATAAAAATTAAATCTTTCAGGTGAGTTTGAAGAAAGCCTGGTCTTCAGAGCTAGTTCCAGGACAGCCAGGGATACACAGAGAAATCCTGTCTTGAAAAAACTTTTAAAGGGTTGATGATTACTTACTGGTAATAGTGATACAGTATATTCCTCACACTGGATTTTTGATTTGTTAGCCTATGGTGTCTAGTAGAGTCATTGTCAACTCATTATAGGGTAATTCCATTAAAAATTTTTTATATATTTTAGGAAGATTCTGAAGTGAGTTTTCATGACTCTTTTAAAGGTCTTTAGTGTTAGTTATCTCTCTTTGTATTCTCTTCTCTACCTTGCCCTCCCATGCTCCACTCTATTTAACCCTTTCTGTTCCATTATTTTCCTTTCCCCTATTTATATCACTGCATTGTGTCCTCCTTTCCTGGAGTCCCTACTTCAATAACCCTTTACTAATTGCTTGACCTCTATGGGTGTTACAATGGAAACAAACACACATCTCTAAAGATTCTAAATTAGCATCTACATGATATTTGTCTTTCTGAATTTGTGTTACCTCACTCAGAATGATTACTGCCAGCTCTGTCCATTTACCTGAGAATTTTGTTTTCCTTGACAGTGAGATAATAATCCAACTGTGTAAATGTGCCATATTTTCATCATCTGTTTATCAGTTGATAGACATATAAGCTGCTCCCATTTCCTGGCTATTGTGACTAGAGCATCAGTGAACATGGATGAGCAAGTGTCTCTGTAATAGGATATAGAGCCCTTTGGGTATATGCCCAAGAACAGTATAGCTGGATCATGTGGTAGATCTATTTATAGATTTTTGAGGAACCTCCACACTAATTTGCATAGTAGTCGCACCAGTTAAGGCTCCCACCAGCAGTAAGTGTTAAAAACCCCCTGCCCCACATTCACAGAGACATCTATTGTGATTTTTTAGTATCTCATCCATTATGACTAGGGGAACATGAAATCTATTGTCATTGTGTTTGATTACCTTCCAGAACTTAGCAGTAAGAACCTATTGCTGAAGACACCACATACTTGAAAATCAATCTGGTGCTGATGAAGCTTTATGCCTGCTGGCCAGCTTTGATAGTGCTGAGAGGTGATGTGTGTTACCAAAAGAGAGAATGAATCCTCAATCTCATCCAGCTGTGAATACTGAGAGTTATAATTACCAGCCCAACAAGATATGCCCACTGGTACAATCCTGGCATGAATGTGAGGGGGGTAACCAGTCACTTTGTGATTGGATTTATGGCCCTCTCCAGTCAAACGTGGTACCATTATCAAGGCCAAGAACCTATGGCTAGAACAGGTCATAGGCCCTTAAAACTACTACTGTTACTCTGCTAAATGGACGTAGTATTAAACCAACTCCTAATGATTTATACAGTAAATTAGTAGTTAAATGTTGAATTGTAAAAGTTCTTTACATACTATACTTCAAGTGCCCTCAAGCATGCTACACAAAGGTTCTATCACTGAGCTACACCCTAAGTCTCA